ATCGTTCGAACTTTAACGGATGTCCCGAAGGATTTGCCTTCACGGAAGCTTTCCACCACAGCACACACACAGACAGACACTGAGAGAGAGAGAGAGAGGGCGTCTTCGAGCACACGCAAAAGCCGCCACCCACAGAACAAGGCTGCAAGATAGTCTCTCGCACTCGATAGGTAGCATACAGGAGTTTGTCGCTTTCGCTAGGGTCATGCTTTTAGTTTGTGTTGTTCGGTACTCGAAGGCACTGAAATATAGTTTGCCATATCCAACAGGCCGCTAAACTTCAATCCAAGAAATGTGCCGCCCTCGGCCCAAAACGCCCTGGCCCTCCACAAAAGGAAAACACTGGGCCGTACCGGTAGTCCAAACATTACGGGCGATCCAGGCCGTTCGCGGGCCCGACGGCCCTGATTGCCACCCGGTCTTGAAGTTTTAAGATCGTGGGGCAATCCAGGCCGTCGTGCCGGTAGGACCATGAACGGCCTGGATCGCCACGCGATCTTAAAATCTTAAGATCGCGGGGCACTCCAAGGCGTCGAGCCGGTAGGTCTGCGAACAACCTGGATCCCAAAATTCTCACATTAAGAACTTTTATAAGTCACTCAGTATTACCACTTGATATGAGGAGAAGATGGTCGTACCGCCGCGTCGCGACRAGCACTAATGCTCTGAGCGATCGCTTCCGGCAMGGCSCGGTTGCCCTTCGTCCGACTGGCCGTGCCACCGTGGCAGGTGGTATGTGGCCTGGCTATGGGTCCCGCCACGCGTCGTGCGCAAGCTGACGTGGCAGATTTTTTCTGATCTATTGGCGGGGAAGTAGGAGAACTTCGGCGTGAAGAGTGGGGCGACGGTCGACTTAAGATTTACAACGGTGGGCAGATGCATGGTTGGCTGAGCTGGAGGATGGGGAGCTTCAGATGCAGGAGATACAGCGGGTGATGTCATCTCCATCAAATCATCCATTACAGGGTCAAGGGTGTGAATCCCTAATGGTTGATTGGATGGAGGATAAGATTCAGCAGATGCTGGAAATTATCAAGGCGTTCGAGGAGGGGCCGGATCCGAGGCTTGATGACTTCATTGATGGGGAGCGGAAGCGTGGGATCGTGCGCAGATGCTACGATCTATTTCGGAAAGCGAAGGCTCTCGACCCGCAATTCTAATCGGGATGGAAGGTGGCTAGTTTGGGTTTCTCCTGTCATCGCTGTTTTGTGATTACGTATGCTTGGAAGAGCGGTTAATCCCCTCTTAGGAGGGCAATCATTGCTAATCTTTACTATATATCAAATTAGATCGAGTACATGCTCCATCAATCACCACGAACCACCAACTAACTCACGCCCCTCCGCTGCCAACTAACAACTCCAATCATCCCACTACAGCCACGATTAATACTCATATCCTCCATATCATCCCAGCTAAAGCCGTCGTTATCATTATCATCAATATTGTTAGTGTTGTTATCATCAGCATCGCCATCGCTCCCAAAAGCACCGTTGTTGTTGTCAATCCCGTTGCCACCAAGGACACTGTATTCGGTATTCTTGAACTGATTGTTGTTGTTGATGTTGTTGTTGACGTTGTTGTTGATGTTGTCTTTGTTATTGTTGTCGATACTAGCGTCGTTGTTATCGCAGCTGCCACCTCTGTTGTTGATCTTGTTGGTGAAGGTCTTGTCATTGATGTCGTTGTTGTCATCGTTGTTACTGCTGTCGTTGTCAACGCAGCCGTCGCCCTCTTCTTCACCACCCGCCGTTATATTCCCCCCAGTCATATTATCGTCACAACCGATATCAGTACTCACCTCCTCCATTCTCTTATCGCCGTTGACCACGCTGTCGCCGACATTTTCTCTCGTCATCGCTGTCAAAATTGTCCATGTCCTCATATCCCCCTCACTGTCGTTGACGCAATAGCTTTGGTGTCTGCTCCTACCAGCACCCCTAGCGACTGTTCAGGTTGTTTCTCAAAAAAAAAAAAAAAAAAAAAAAAAGAACTTTTATAAGTATAGGGAAGGGGGCGTGAAGGGGCCTTATATCTGGCACTGAATTTGAATGACCGAGTAGAAACCTAGTGCATCCCTCGCTGAGATCTTTGAGTCCAATATTTACAAAACTATTGAAATGTTACGATCCTGGCCAATTTCGAGGTGCAAATTCACAAGAAAGTACAATGCCGCCCAATCGCAAAAGAAATGACTGACCTTGAGACTAGAGAGAGGGAAAAAAGAAGAAGAAGAAGACGAAGTAGAAGAAGAAGAAGATGTACACCAGCAAAAGACCAATGACAATTCCCCCCTTCTTGCCAACCATCCTCCTCCGTATCTCCTCTCATTCAAACAATAAATAATAACAATAATGACAAATGACTGAACCAGAATCAACGTCTGGGTCCCTCTACCACTGCCAGCACAGCAAGAGGTCGGACATAGCCATGGCCGCCCTCCTCTCTTATACATTCAGGCGTAGGCTATGATGGACTACTAAGGACCTTGCCCTGACGTGCAAAAGACAATGCAAAGCAGCTATGGCCTCTTTTCTTATAAATGGGCCTGAAAAATGGGTGCTCGGTTAACCTGCTCTCCTTAGGCCGCCATGCCTGACTCTGCATCGAAGCTTCTTGATGCATCGCTACCCCAACTGGGGCTTTCCAGATGTAGCGCCTACCAAGGTGATGAAGACGGTGTCCACCATAGCCAGGTAAGTACCCCTGGCGCTCCCCTCTCCCAGTCCTCTTCTTCCCCCTCCTACTACCAGGAGTTCTCCACCATATCCAAGGTGGAAGCCCTGGCGCTCCTCTCCCTAAGCTCAACACACCGCTCCTCCGCTGGTCGCTCCAGCAGCGTGACGCACAAACTTGCACCCAGCCAAATGAGGAGACACTTCGCTCCTGAAGATACAGCCACCAACCTGCCTCTTGGGCGGTGTCTTCCCGAGAGCAGGTTAACCGAGCACCCATTTTTCAGGCCCATTTATAAGAAAACCAGACAGTCATTTTAACAACACTTCACACCAATCTATAGAGTGCACTTCTTACGACCCCATCACAGAAAAAAACCCTAAAAAAAAGCAATTAAAAACATATAAAACAGCAAGCCAAAGGTGCATTTCCATAAGATTTGGCCCAAAAAAAACTCGACCAATTTCAAAAATTTCAGAAATCTTAATAGCGCAAATTCTAAAACTCCAAATAACCCCAAATTTCATATACGACAACACTATCAAAATGCATATATAGCAAAAACTTGAAATTCCAAAAAAACATGAAATTTGAGCCCAAAACCCTAATTTCAGAAATTTCAGGCCTGAAAACCAGATGCCCCGTTAACCTCTTGTGTTGGAGGGAAACACCATTGCAGCCTCTGATATCGTCAGCACACGCCCAACACTCAGACTACTTGGGCTGGTACCCGCCTAGACCTAGCCTACTACTACTGAGCCTCTAAGAATACGAACTTCGTCTTCTTCTGCTTCGCCTACCGCTACTCAAGTACCTACTGGCATACACTTTCCACTACTCGAGTGTGCCCTAAGCTACCCCTTCGGCAACTTGAGTGTTTTGCCTGCTGCAACACCACAGTCAGGGCCACAGGGAAGTACCGGCCTCAGGGCCTCCCAAGCACACAAGTACCTTGGCAGGTCACACACACTCGAGCACTTGGGCAATCAGCAAAACACAGAGAACCCAGCAAATACACTCACACAGAGACTTAGAAATCTCAGCAAAAAGTGAGAATCTCACCAAGGCATACATTCCAGCGGCAAAACACAGAAATCAGCAGTTTTCTCAGCCTGCAATTTTGCGGGTTGTTACAGGAACAATATTCTGCTAAGGGGCATACGATGCTCACGAGCAGGCCCACTCAACCGAGGTGGTGCTTTCCAAAAACTATTGCATGCAAAGCATAGTTGCAGCATTGTTCAACCTCACTTCTCACTCTCAACATTTGAGTCACCATGGGATTGTGCCTGCTTGAGCCGCCTACGTATTCTCCCAAGTAGCCCCATGAAATTTGAGGTCCTCTTGTGCATCAGCAAGATTTGAAGTACACCAGTGTTACGTTCCTGGCCAATTTCGAAGTATACATTCATCAGAAAGTCAATGTCCAATTGCAAAAAGAAATGAATGAATTGAGAGGAGAGAGAGGGAGAGAGACGAAGTAAGAAAGAAGAAGAAGATGATGTAGTCCAGCATAGGCCAATGACAAGGCTCTTTTTCTTCGCCAACCAATCTCCTCTTCCTTATCTCCTCCCCTCTTATTCAAACAAGAAATAACAATAATAATGTTGAATGGCTGAGCCAGTATCAATGTCTGAATCCCACTTCTCTCCAGGCACAACATGAGGTCCACCATAGCCATGGCCACCCTTCCTCTTCCTCTACATGCAGGCCGGGGCTATGGCGGAGCACTGAGGGCTCTACCCTCCTATCCAAAGGACAACCCAAAGCAGCTATGTCGCTGCCTCCCTGTGCAAAGGACAACGCAAAGCATCAATGACGCTGCTCACTAGGCCACCATGCCCGTCTCTCTGCCCCGAGCTTCCTTGGTGCGGCACTACCCCAACGGGGGACTTCCCGATGCAGCGCCTAACAAGGTGATGAAGATGGTGTCCACCATAGCCAGGTAAATACCTCGCCACTCTCCTCCTTGGTCCCCTTCTCCCTCCTCCTACCGGTAGAGCTCCACCATAGCCAAGGTTGACGCTCCCGACTTCTTTCTCCCAGCAGCACTGTAGTACCCAGCGCTACTCCAGTCCGCGCTCCTGCAGCGTGTCGCCAAACTTGCACACTGAAGAATGAGGTCGAGCTCTTCCCTCGGCCTCTTGATACAGCAGCCTGCTTGCCTCCTGGACGGTGACTTCTAGGCCCGCTCGGCCTCCCAAGCAACCGGTACCTCCTCCCTTTCAGAAGGAAACATCATTGCAGACTCTGATATTGCTCGTACAGGCTCTAGACTCAGACTGGATGGACTGGTACCGGCCTAGACCTAGCCTGCCGCTATTGGGCCTCTAAAAACGCCAACTTCGTCTTCTTCTGCTCGGCCTAGAGTACCGGCCTACCTGCTACTCGAGTGTTTTTCCGCTGCTCTACGAACCACGGGCCCCTGACTCCGCTACTTGAGTGTTTTCCCTGCTGCAACCCTCAATGCCACAGGTAAGTACCGGCCCTACGGGCCTGCCAAAAATGTCACTACCCTTGCGGGTCACACACACACTCATATCGACAAGCACTCAGACAGGCACGCAGGTCACAAGCACGCACACACACAGACTTAGAAAACTCAGCAGAAAGTGGGAATATCAGCAAGGAAAACTCATCAGAAAGCAGGAATATCAGCAAGGAAAACTCAGCAGAAAGCGGGAATCTCAGCAAGGCATCCATACCATCGCCAAAACTTCAAAAATCAACAGTGTTCTCTGTTTGTGTTATGGCGGGTCATTACACTACCCCCCCCCCCCCCCCCCCCCCCCCCCCCCCCCAAGAGCGAGGTCACTTAGAGCGAGTAACTCAATCAGAGTCCCTGCATAATGCATCATAAGCGTAAATGGCGAAGAGATATCGGGTATGTTCCGTAGGAGTGAGGGTCGTAGTATATTTAGGTTGCTGTTCGAAGCTAATCATATGCATTGACGACTCGCGGCGCACTCTGCAGCAAATTTTTCTTAGCAATCCAATAAAAGTCGTTCAATGGATGATATAGGAAGTGGACTTCGTATTGTCTGTTTCTCCCTTTCCCACTGTGCTCGACAAATTTGTCAATCTCGTAACCGCCATTGATTGCGCGAGGAATCATTGATTCTCGATACGGAAAAGTTTCGGGTGGTTCATACGGAAACAACTTCGACCCGTGAAAGACTGGGTACGTGCACGGATAAGGAGGCACGTCGATCGTGTAAGGAGGACCAAAGGAATCATTCCCAACTCGGTTCAGCACCTTCCACGGACTGTAGTACTGAGGAAGAAGCTTTCCTGATACACCTTCTTCTTCAGAAAACTATGACATCTTGACCAAGACATAACTTCCCACTGTGAAAGGGCCAGGCTGGCGCTTTTTGTTTGCATGCCTAATCATGGCACTGCGTCGCCTTTCCATAGCTGCGACAACAACTTTGAGCAAACGATCAAACTTAGCACTGTAGCCTAGCTGGCCAGGTGTTAGGCCAGGTGGCTGGTCAGGAAACAAATAGGATAGGGGATTGTGAATTTGCCACCCGAGGTGCAACCGGTTAGGTGTCATCCTGGAGGTCCTTGCACAATCGGCAATTCCTTCCCAACAGTTCTGATCAGGCACAATTAGAGCTCGGGGAAGTTGGATCACACTCTGGTTGATCTCCTCGACCAATCCATTGGCTTCGGGATGACGGCCAAACGTCATCTTGATATCTGGGAGGTGGAGGTCCTTCCAATCTGCACCTATGAACATAGTGTCACGATCACTCACAACAATTTTAGGGAGCCCACACTACACAATGTATCTTTTGTGAAACTACTTGATCACAAGGTCAGTTGGGGCGTGAGGTGGTAATGGAATCAAATTCAAAAACTTAGGAAAGCGGTCAATGATCACCATTACTTGTGAGTATCCGTTCCTGCTCTTCTTTCCCATGTCCGTGAAATCGATGGAAAGAGACTCACCTGGGCCATCAAGAATAGGAAGAGGATGCAGCAGCCCATAGGGCTTTTGCCGAGACGGTTTGATGCGTTGACAAACTTCACACTCAGCCACAAACTTTCGGGCCATTTCTTTCATCCCAGGCCATAAAAACTTTTGCAATAGACTTTCGTACGTCTTTTCAAAACCAAAGTGTCCACTCCGGCCATGAGCCAAGTCCAAGAAGTGAGTACTGGTAGGCTCATGGTTGGGCACACACAGGCGGTCGTACTTCCCGTAACGTCGGAACAGTAATCCTTTACACTTCCGGAAATCAGGCTGGCTGCTAGGGCCAGCCTGGATCTGTTCAAGGATGAGACTGAGTTCCGGGTCCTTGGCAGAATACTCGATGAGTTCCTCCTTCAAATTCATACGGAGATCGTGGGAACCTGCAAGACATGTACTCAAAGTGGCCAGACAAAGAATCCGAAATGCGATTGTAACAACCTTTCTTGTGCCTAAGTTCGAAATCATACACAACAATCTCATGCAGCCAGCGGGTCAACGTAGTTGATGGATTATTCTTTGTCTGAATCCATTTCGTGATCTGATAACACTTTGAAATGGCGACCCAAGAGATAGTGCTTCCAATGATCTAATGCTTCTCTCAAGGCGTACAGTTCTCGCATGTAAGTGGACGCAACTACTTTGTGACTGACATACGTTTGCTGCAGAATTCGAGCGGAAGTAAGTCGCCGCCATCATTTTGTTGCAGCACTGTACCAATCCCTTACAAGCTTGCATCTTTAGATACTACGAATGTAAGTTTAGGATCTGCAATGCGGAGCACCGGATGACTCGCCAAAGCCTCCATCAATGCTTGGAAGGCTTTTGTGCAATCTCCATCCCATGTGTAGGAAACATTCTTGCTGGTCAATCTGGCCAGTGGTCGAGCAATGATAGAGAACTTGGGTACGAACTTACGATAGTATGACGCGAGACCAAGAAAAGAACGCAACTCACGGACATTTGCCGGTTGAGGCCATTTGCGGATGACCTCAACTTTGGTTGCCTCGAGCAATAGGCCTGCAGCAAACAACCGATGTCCAAGGTAGATCACGCTATCCCTCTCAAACTCAGATTTCTCCAAGTTTAGATGGAGTTGCGCATCCTTGAGGATCTGCAACACTTCCTCAAGGTGTCTCATGTGCTCCTCCATCGACTTGCTGAAGATTAGTATGTCATCTGAATAAACAACAACACATCGATTGATCTGATTGTGGAACACCTTGTCCATGAGACTTTGAAAGGTGGCCGGTGCATTCGCGATACCGAAGGGCATGACGTTAAACTCGTACATCCTATCGCGGGTTTTGAATGCAGTTTTGTGCTGGTCTATAGGGTCGACTTCAATCTGGTGGTAGCCAAACTTGAGATCGATCTTGCTGAAGAACTTGCACCCCCCTGCAGCATCAAGCAAATCATCAATACGCGGCAAAGGATATGCATTCTTTCTTGTTATTCTATTCAGTCTGCGGTAATCGATACACATCCGCAGTTCGCCTCCTTTCTTTCGGACAAACAGAACCGGTGCACCGAATTCAGATTCGCTTGGCTGGATCCATCCCTTCCCAATTATGTCATCGATTTGTCTTCGCAACTCTTTCAATTCGCCTGAGCCCATTCGATACACACATCCTTTTGGAGGAGTGCTACCTTCTATCAACTCGATCCTGTGTCCGACTGGACGCACGGGGACTCCATGAGGTTCGGCCAAGACTTCAGGAAATCGGTTGAGAAGGTTGCGGATTTCTGATGGGACTTCCGGATGTGGATCATCACTTTCAGGTACAAGCATATCGGATTGCATCGGTGCAGCAAAAACAACAAAATTTGAAGCGAAGTCATTTGAACTAGAAGTAAACTTAATAGAGATAGAGGTAGTTGCATTAGACGTAGAAACGACATGCAAAGTAGAATCATTATGTACAGCAAAACTAGAAGGCACATGAGCAAGCCTAATAAAGGCTATAAACATTTGCTCATCAACTTTGCGCCTACGCCACTTTTTGCAGAATCACATTGCATTGAGAAAAGTTACTTGGGACACGTGCGGCTCATCCAAGAGGTCTGGTCGCTCGATTCCCATGGCATCTTTGACCATGAATTGTGAGTCGTTCAACGTGGTTCTTTCACATTGGGCCTGCAACCAGTCCAAGCCAATAACCGCGTCGAAGGGGCACTTATGAAGGACATAGAAGTTTAACTCATGCGTGATTGTGCGGTCTGCGTCAAAGGTAGCGTGCACCCCTTTGACTACATGAGTAGATGTGACAACCTCTTGGTTGCCCACTTGGGTCACTTGCTTCATTCCCAAGCGTGCCTTATAAATGTCGTGCGGTGAGAAGTAGTTGGCGGTTGCACCAAAATCAGCCAACGCACGGATGTAACGGTCGTTAATGCGGGGTTTGAAGAAGATCAACTTCGTTTTCCCTTGCGTGCGTTCTTGCTTCATGTGAGTCCTGCGTGACAAGAGAGAATGAAAGTCAATTTCTTTCGACTCCACCCAAGGCTCATTGTATAGGATGTGCAGGTTCTCAGCCTTGGAATCGACATCAGATGTGGTTTCAAAAGAGGTTTGTTGAGTACAATCAAAATCCAGTGAAGGATCTGCACTTACATGTTCAGCCTCTCCGTCTATAGAGTGTGCTGATGATGTCTTTACCTCCGTTGTTGGTTTCCCTGCTGCAATCTGAAGCAATGTTGGACAGGGTGACCCGGTTTGGTGCAATGCAGGCAAACCCCTTTCTTTACCCTCTGTTTCCACTCACTTTCACTCGTCCGGAGATCTACCCATGGTTTGGTGGCAGGATCTTCCGGTTTGGGTGGAATCTTCGCTCCCTTGGGAAGGAGAATGGTGTTAGTATTGTTTTTCACTATGGTCCTTGGTCCCTTACTTTTGGGTGGATTCATCGTCATTTACATACTCAGACTCATGGGCTGACAAAGAGGATAATGCCTCGTAGTCTTGATCTTGATCGTCATAGAGAGAAGGGTCCTTTGCGAAGGTCTCCTCGTCCACCTCAAGTAGATAGTGCACTGCAAAATGGTGGCTGTTTGGAAACCGTTTGGGGCCGGTGGTCTTTTTGCCACCTGACCCACCCGGGAAGTCTTGTGCCTCCAGCTTGGCTGAATCCCGCACGAGGGTAAGCCAATCTGTATACATTATGAATCCGAGCCCCAGGCGATGTGTCACAGTAGAGGGGACCGTACCTTTTATCACATCCAAGCAAGACAGCGCAGTCATTTCCAGATCCTGAGTAGCAAATAGTTTAGTAACATACTGCTGCAGACTATGCATGGTGTTGTTCCACTTGATGTGCTTGAGCTTGTCAAGCTCCAAGCTAGCTTTGGCTGCAGCATGTGGATCAGCATATTGTTTGATCAAGAGTTCCATGAGTGTAGCTATAGGCGTAGCCTTCAGCCATTTGTTCAGGTTTATTCTTTTATAGCCTGACTGTACAGCTTGGACTTCTAAGAAGCCCCTTACGGCGGGTTCCACAATGGTCGCTAGGACGTACGACTGAGTCACTGGGGATGTCCCCAGCACATCAAAGTAGGATCGCATGGAGCTGATCCAAGATTCAATGTCGTCCTTTACGTCATACTTAGACGGGATCTATATCGCCTTCTTGTCTACATAGGGAAAGCTGCAGCTAGGACCAGCGATTGCTGGGTCCGAATTCAGGGCTACAACAGTTCCAGAATGCTCTGCCATGCCACTTGCCGCTGCAGCAGCAGCAACAACAACAAGGGGGTCTGGACCTGCTGCAGATTCAGTTAGGTTGTTGGCCACACTCAAAGAAGAGGAAGAAGAAGAAGAAGATACAGTTAGAGGGGCAAGAACGGACTGACACGCAACACTAGAAGCAGGGTAAGCAAGCGGAAGGACACTTTGGGCCGGCTGCAAGCTAGCAAACTGTTGCAGCTGGTCACAGTGCTACTGCGCCATCAGGGCCATATCCTCGCACAGCTTCTTGAGTTCATCAAACACCTTGGCGAGTTGGCCTGTATGGTCTTCAACAACCCAGACTTCTACTAAAGCCTTGAGTGGGACAATCTTCTCTTCCACCTCATCATCAGTTAAGGCGGGCCTGGTACTGAAGACCGCTTCATGAGCCTTTACTTTGTCTCTCCTCTCCTTCTCCGTTCCCTCGTCTTCCCTCTTCAATGTTTTTTCATAAAAGAACTGGTACTGCGCTTTCTCTGCCTCAGGGGAAGCATCCATTTGCAGCTTCCATTCTGCTGCGGATGCCATGATGGAGGATGAGGGTGTTAATAAGTCTCTCAAGAGGGGTCCGTACTTCCTCACACTTCTGGGACGAAAGCTCCTCTTCCCTCTCTTCCCTCTCCTCACTCCCTCAAGAGCAACACTCTGAAGCTTCTCTCTTCTCTCGCTCTCTCATTTGCGGTCGTGTACACGCAGGCATTTAACGAACCCAATGAAAGAAACAACTTGAAATCAATCAGAAGAGGTGGAACTCCTAGCCGGAGTGGCAATTTATTTGGACTGGAGAGCAGTCAGAACAAGAAATAAAGATCAGAGAGATCTGATTCCGCCACACAGTCTGGTCCGGCCACATGCGAGGTTCTCTCAAGCCTAACCGGGCTTAGCTCTGTGAAGACACAACAAATCAAATTCAAAGTGTAATACGTAAATGCAAGAGAGAACTGAGTGGTGTCCAAGGTGCCAGTCAGGCGGTCGTGCGGTAAAGTCTGATAAAACGTCTCAGCTGAGATCCCCTCAGCAGCGAGTGTCCTGGTCCGAAAGCATGAACTCCGAGTCCCAATCAGATAGAGCGAGGTAACTGACGTCTACAGATTTGGGCCTGAGGGGCCCTTCTTGTTTGGGCCCAGTCCCACCGAGTCCCAAATGGTCCTAGTGGAGTCAAAACCGGGTCCCAACCAACCAGAGTTCCACAAAGACCTACTTCTTGCCCCTACCGAATTGAAAAACGATTTTTAGCCCAGAAAGAACCTACGATTACAGCCATTCAGAATGAAATAAACAAAGCATTGTAGAGAGATAAAGCATGGCAAGCAAGATACTCCATTCATTCACTCGTCACGTGAGTAAGCAGTTCACGCACCTCACACAAGATCAAGACCATGGAGGATGGAAGAAGAACCCATAATACCCCAGATATGGCTGCCACCCTCAAGCTCGCCTAACTTGAGGGGAGCCCCAAAGTCACTCGTCGTCTTCCTTGAAGTCAAGGTTCAAGTTGTAGGTGCCCTTCACTGTCGCCTCTCTCAAGTTGCATCACGAAGTCCCACCTTGTGTCTCGCCACCACAAACATGCACTCAAGCAACCTGGTCGGGTCTAATGTCGATCCTACACGACCCTGCCAGGTGGTGGCAGCTTCCCTTCACCACGTTGCCCCATTTAACCCTAACTTCCAGCGGTAACCCTAAGTGGTTAGCCCTTACCACTAAGGTTAGGTTTATGGCGACAAAGTCAACTCTCGCCAGCAAGTAGAATCTGCTCCGATACCAATGTTACGATCCTGACCAATTTCGAAGTGTATACATTCATCAGAAAAGTACAATGTCGTCCGGTTGCAAAAAGAATTAAATGAATTTGAGAGGAGAGAGAGGGAAAGAAGAAGAAGAAGAAGAAGCAAGAAGGTCGCCTCTCTCAAGTTGGATCACGAAGTCCCACCTTGTGTCTCGCCACCACAAACATGCACTCAAGCAACCTGGTCGAGTCTAATGTCGACCCTACACGACCCTGCCAGGTGGTGGCAGCTTCCCTTCACCACATTGCCCCATTTAACCCTAACTTCCAGCCGTAACCCTAAATGGTTAACCCTTACCACTAGGGTTAGGTTTATGGCGACAAAGTCAACTCTCGCCAGCAAGTAGAATCCGCTCCGATACAAATGTTACGATCCTGGCCAATTTCGAAGTGTATACATTCATCAGAAAGTACAATGTCGTCCAGTTGCAAAAAGAAATGAATGAATTTGAGAGGAGAGAGAGGGAAAGAAGAAGAAGAAGAAGTAAGAAAGAAGAAGAAGATGATGTACCCTAGCATAGGCCAATGACGAGGCTCTTCTTCTTCGCCAACCAATCTTCTCTTCCTTATCTCCTCCCCTCTTATTCAAACAAGAAATACCAATAATAATGTTGAATGGCTGAGCCAGAATCAATGTCCAAATCCCACTTCTATTGCAGGCACAACATGAGGTCCACCATAGCCATGGCCACCCTTCCTCTTCCTCTACATGCAGGCCGAGGCTATGGCGGAGCACTGAGGGCTCTACCCTCCTGTCCAAAGGACAACCTAAAGCAGCTATGTCGTTGCCTCCCTGTGCAAAGGACAACGCAAAGCATCTATGCGGCTGCTCACTAGGCTGCCATGCCTATCTCTGCCCCGAGCTTCCTTGGTGCGGCACTACTCCAACGGGGGCCTTCCAGATGCAGCGCCTAACAAGGTTATGAAGATGGTGTCCGCCATAGCCAGGTAAGTACCTCGCCACTCTCCTCCTTGGTCCCCTTCTCCCTCCTCCTCCTACCGCTAGAGCTCCACCATAGCCAAGGTGGAAGCTCCCGGCTTCTTCCTCCCAGCAGCGCTGTAGTACCCAGCGCTACTCCAGCCAGCGCTCCAGCAGCGTGTCGCCAAACTTGCACACTGAAGAATGAGGCTGAGCTCTTCCCTCGGCCACTTGATATAGCGGCCTGCTTGCCTCCTGGGCGGCAACTTCTAGGCCGCTCGGCCTCCCAAAAACAGTACCTCCTCCCTTTCGAAGGGAAACATCATTGCAGACTCTGATATTGCCCGTACAGGCTCCAGACTCATGGGATGGACTGGTACCGGCCTTGACCTAGCGTACCGCTTCTGCGCTTCTAAAATTGCCAACTTCGTCTTCTTCTGTTCCGCCTCAAGTACCCGGCACATCTACTGCTACTAGGTGAGGTACCGGCCTACCTGCTACTTGAGTGTTTTTCTGCTGCTCTAAGCACCGCGGGCCCCTAGCTCCGCTACTTGAGTGTTTTCCCTGCTGCAACCCTCAATGCCACGGCCACAGGTAAGTACCGGCCCTACGGGCCTGCCAAACAAGCCAGTACCCTTGCGGGTCACACACACACTCATATCGACAAGCACTCAGACAGGCACACAGGTCACAAGCACACACACACATAGACTTAGAAAACTCAGCAGAATGCGGGAATATCAGCAAGGCATCCATTCCATCGGCAGAACTTCAGAAATCAGCAGTGTTTTCAGTCCGTGTTATGTCGGGTCATTACACCAGGCTCTATATGCGTCCTCATGCTGGGTGGGGGATTGCCAATGTTTGCACTGCCAAAAGTAAACAATTAGGGCCTTTCCTCCCTTCATTTTTGCCCTCCAGCGAAAGGCGGCACTGACGGCCAGGTTCCTGGACCCTGAGGCAAGGTCTTCATTTCTGACCATTGCTTATGAGCATCAATGGCCAGGAAAAGTGGGACCTTGCTTCGTCCTCACGTTCTATCATTTTCCTTGACTCTTTTCTTTTTGTTTTTTTAACATATGCCGTGTGTGCTAGCAGCAGTGATAGCACACACGGCGATGCAGGCACTCAGCACTAGCCCGGGGATGGGTCCAGCGTCCCTAATATGTGATGGGATGATTGATGGGTAGCAGCACCTGCTGGAACATGGGTCCAGCGTCCCTAATATGTGATGGAATGATTGAATAATGACAATGTCTGAAATGATGCGTCCCTTATATGTGATGGAATGATTCAATGATAACAATGTCTAAAACCACAGCAGATCTACCAAGGCTGGCCCTGATGAGGATATCGAGGAACTTCGCGGGGCCGCTCAGAGGGATTCCGAGGTCAATCTGGAGCTAATCGTGGAAGGTGAGTGTATAGTCTTTTTCAAGTGGGGTTACGCTCAAGAGGGATTCCGAGGTAAATCTGGAGCTAATCGTGGAAGGTGAGCGTATAGTCTTTTTCAAGTGGGTTCCCATCCCACAAGTGGCATCCATCCCCCATTCTACCCCCCCAGCCAGTCAGTACAGAAGTCAGTAATTGCGCTCTAGACGTCTCTCTGTTGTGTGAAAAATGCATCTTTTCCTGTCTGCTTTTCCATTTGGATCTTAATTCTGTGTGGATGAATTGCTGTATTGTTTCAATGGTCTCCATCCCATCTACCTTGACTCCTTCCATGGCATGAACACAGCACCTCCACCATAGCCCCCAAAGCACCGCTTTTCTGTCGAGTGAGAGGAGGTTGGCCGGTGGCCGCGAAAGTGGAGAGGGGCAACTCTTGCCAGGCTCCCATCATCAGCCATTGCCAGTCCCATGGCCAGTCCTCCCCATCCCCAGTTGGTGCCAGATTTTGTCCCGCCATCTCCATGTAAGGACTGCAATGCTCCCGGATTCTGCGGCTGGGGAATGACTCTTGGCACCTCTTGCACCATGGCAGAGCTATACCCTTTTGTTCCAGGTGGGTGTGGTCAATTAGCCAGTCATTGGTGGGGAGGCAACAATGAATATCTGCCACTGCAGGGAGGAAAATTTGGCTGGGTGGTCCTTCATCCCCTGGAATCACTTGACTTTGCAGAAACTATCCCTGCCTGTGTTGAGGTGCCTCATCCACCTGTCCCTCACTACTGCCTGCATGTCGACCCGGGTTCTGAGCATGCGGTAAGTTGCCTTGTCTGTCAAGGACTGGAGTGTGCACTGCTGTCTTGATTTACTCTCCCAAGTCCATTCCTCTGGGTCCACTGCAAGGGCTGAAATCGGGAGGTCTGGGCGGTGGGCCAGCCATCCTGTTCCTGATAGGCGGAGGAGTACCTGGATACAGAAGAGCTCCTCCTCACGACACCATTCTGTTACATTTGGGTTGTGGCTTGATAGGAAGCCATCTCGGTGGAGTATAAACATGCTACAAGAGCTCCTCCAGGTCTAGTTTCTACTACGTTGCTGATCCTGGGAGGGTCGCCTGATATTCTTACTGCTACCCAGTCTGACTCCTGCAATGTGGATCCTTTCCTCACAGTTACAACCCATGTTAGCAGGACCGAGAAGCTCAACTGTTCCAGGGTGCCTTCGATGCGATGGGCGTATCTCAGCGTCAATTTTTGGACTACTTCCATTCCCTAGTGTCCTGGTCCCATGTCCTGTTGTTCCCATAGAGTGGCCAACAAAGGACTTCATCACGTGAGGGCGAGGGTCGGTCCAGGAGGGGCAACCGGTGCCAGATTCTTATCAAGGTGCTCTAAAATGGGTCACTTGCCAGGTCCTGCCTAGCTGCCCCCATCCCCCCGTGGGCACAAGGGGAAGGGCATGCCCGCGGATTTGCTGATGAATGGGTCGGTTGTGTCCAGTGCGAGGAACCCGCCGCCTGATCTGTCCCATGGCCAGCTCCCTCCACAGCAAGTTGTGACTTAGGATCAGCCTTTTGATCCATTGCACCGATAATGCCCTGGTTTGCGTTACGGGGTCTATGAGACCCAGCCCTCCCCGGATTTTGGTTGGGTGAGGGTGTCCCAGGCTACTCTATCGATCACATTGTGCTTTTCATGGTCCCCTTGACGGAGGAAAGGCGACAGCTGGCTTTCCATGCCTCGAGTTGCCTCCTTGCCTAAAGCCCAGATCGACGATTTTTACCACAGGGAGGCCACAATAATCTTATTGATGACCAGGCCGCCCAAAGAGGAAGGTGTTTTAGTTTTTATACTTTCGAGGGCTGGTTTGGATATCCATCTACCATTAGTGAGTGGTTTACCTTGGGCCGAGATTGCCACCCCCAAAATTATTATCTGTGCCTCATCCACTTTACCCTGGGATGCTCCGGTGGGCAGACGGCAGACCCCCTAGGACTGGATCCACCAGGCTTGGGTCTTACCCCCCAATCATTCATTCCTCGACTCAACTTCTGTTTTTTGCAACGGAAAATGCCACAAACATTTATTCATCAAATCTCTTTATTAACAGTGACATTTATTCTCGGCCGTTCAGCCCCAAGGCAGGTGCTTGACACCTTTTCCTGTCCGAAGTTGTGCCCACACCACCGGACCGTTACCCGGCTACCTTGGGTAGACACACCGGTTAACACTGTATAAAATCCATAGCTACGCCGGACCGGACCCCGGACCTCCCGGGCCTATCCAGACTTCCAGAAAACCAGAATATTCCAGCATTTCCGGACCGGTCCGGATCTCGTATATTGTCCGGAAGAAGAAGAAGAAGAAGAAGAAGAAAAAAAAAAAAAAAAAAAAAAAAAAAAAAAAAAAAAAAAAAAAAAAAAAAAAAAAAAAACGCCTCTACTCCTACTTCTCAGTTAAAGTGTGTCATCCATGTGCAGGGGCCATGCTAATCTTCTCCTTCCAATGTTAATGAACGTCCCAAGGACAAGATTAGAATGGCCCCTGCGCCAAGATGACATGCATTAATGGGGAAGTGGACCAAATAAAAAATAAATAACCCAAAAAGGAGGGGGAGGAGACGAGGAGGAGGAAGACAAGAAGAGAGGAGGACGACAGAGGAGTACAAGAAAAAAAAAATCGGCCCACGTATTCCTTATTGAATAGTCTTTTTCCCGAAGGACCCCAGTAGTGCATCTGCAAGCGTCCACTATCTCAAGAGACGTTCGGCAAATTTCATGTGAGAGTGGAGCAGGCCAGCAATATGTGTTCTGGATCCGAAGTCAGGTCTACATTCCAGCATGGGTCACAAGTTACAACTACTTGCTACCGTAGCTCTCTCTTTTCTTTTGTTTCATTTTCCTACGAGCAGCAGCCCTAACGGCCTTGCCCCACTCGTCACTACTTGCACAAAAGACAAAACATATGGCGGCGTATGGTTCCATGTTCTAGCAGAAGATTCATTCCAACTCTTTCTTTCGTTTCC